AAGAAAGAAAGAAAGAAAGAAAGAAAGAAAGAAAGAAAGAAAGAAAGAAAGAAAGAAAGAAAGAAAGAAAGAAAGAAAGAAAGAAAGAAAGAAAACCATCTGTGTGTGCTTTGCCTTATGTGGAATTAATTGTGTGACTTTTTCCTGAAATACCATCCTCATAAAAAGATAAATAAATGCCACTGTTCTAAAGCTTTGACAAATATAGTTATAAGACAATGAAAAGATGAGGAGATATATGGGCCTCGCTGGTGATGCAAAAGGTTAAAGCGCAGTACTGTGAAGCTCTCTGCAGCCACTGCAGCACAAGTTCGATTCCTGGCCAGAGAGGTGACCCACATGGCGCGGCAGACCTCTCCTGCCTCACCCACTGCTCCCCTCAACAATGTACTTCAGTCGATCTGCCTATTCTGCTCCCCACCCTGTCTCTGGTGAATCATCTAACCCCCCACACCTCTGGCCTATACCCCAGTTCTTTAATGTATACATAAATAAATCTTTAAAAAACAAAAAAAAGACAGCTGAACACCCCGCTTTTTCTTTCAGGTATATCAGGAAAATGGCAAGGATGGTTACCTCTTGACACCCTTCAGGCCCCATGACATTTTGGAGCTCCAGGAGAGGAGATACACACGCCCACAGGCACTTGGTGAATTCCAGAAGTGAGGCCCAGGTCTAGTGGTCACTCCCACAGCTCATGCTGACATCTCTCAGGCAAACTTCCAGCAAAGCCCAGTGCAGTACATGTTGATAGTCTTGTGGCACTTGGGCAAATATTCTGTCCAATTAATTGGAACTAATTTTAAATTGGTTTTACTTTAGGTGATAGACACGGAGTGAAGCTGCAGAAAGAAATATGTTGCAATGAAATCTCATGCACACCAGACCCTGGCCCTCTTAAATTTTTGAGGCTTTTGCTTTTACCTATAAATTGTACCAGATCCTGAATTTTCCCAACATCTGACTAAGACTTTCCCAACTAATCTCTCCTGAGTTTGAAACAAAACTGACTTTTTCTGAACCGTGTAGCTGGAGTGCGGGATGCCAGTTGGAGGCTGATGCCGGTTGGAGGAGGCTGATGCCGGAGGGTGCCTCGAGCCTCTCTGATGGCATCCGACTGCCAGCAGGGGCACAGCTGCCTTCCCTCGCCCAGCACCCAGTTCTCAGTGGTGATCTAGAAACTTCCCCCGCTGGCTCCCCTTAGGAATCCTGCTAGTACTGGTGTTTTGCTTCAATCTCTTTACTATTCCCC